TGAGGGGGGGAAAAAATCCACAAGGGCAGATGGGTAAACAAAGGTACGATTCAGCAGGATAGTTCAAAAGACAGGAAGGGACCGAGCCAATAGAGGTCAGAGCTACAACAGTAAACGTATTAGCGATATTGTTTTAGATATCAAACTCCAATTCAATCTGCAGCAGAGGTAAGATTATTCCTCTTTGGTTTGTTTGTTTAGCCACACACTCCTGCCAGAAGCATTAGTGTTTCTACATGTAAACGCAGACTTTAAGTGTTCTTTGTGACCCGTAAAAGCTGCAGGGTGTAAGAGGACCCGCAGCATAAGAAGCATTGTTTATTTGCAGGGAAAGGTCAGCGTTTGCACATTCACAATGTCTCTGGCATTTACCTCAATTTACAAACATATGTAAGCACATGAGCACAGGCAGTCAAACTTGATTGCATTTACTGTGATTCATTACAGCAAACTCAGGCCTGTGTTTGCATCCAGAAAATGTAATCTACATATAATTCACATCTTAGGCTCTTTGAGTACATGTAAGGATACCTCAGATCCCAGAGGAAAGGATGATCTATCCTGTTTGAAGAGGGGGAAAAAACACTGACCAACTCATTGAACCGTGAGCGTGGTTAGCATCGCCTTTGCGGGTCCATTTATCACCCTCCATTCTGTGATATTAGGAACCCCGGAGAGGCTGTATATAAGCAGCAGACGCGCAGCTCCTCCCCTCCATGCCTCCATCCAGAACAGAAGTCTGATTCTCCCACCTGCAAAGTCTCCATCTGCTCCCCCTTGCACCCCACTACAACAACAACAAAAAAATATCCACAACCTGATTCACAGTCAAGGCAACCTTGAGCGTAATCGTCCATGACAGTTTGTATCTGACACAGGAATATCTGCTTGATGCTCTGCGGTAATTTCAGCGGCAAGAATAAATGCATGGAGGTGCTTGGAGATATTTTCCTGTCTTTTCAAATTACATCCTGCGCCGTGCTTTTACATTGTATCACAACTCTCTGAGCTCTGCAGTGCATCAGTGGTGCAGCACCTAGAGAGGAGAGAGGGTGAGTGTAGTATTTGGTGTTAGGTATTCATGTGTGTCCGCCCTGAAGACCAAAAGTAAAACCTACCCACAATTCCTGTGTTGTAAAAAGCAGCAATGCAGACCCCAACAACCTCTAAAGAGGAGATTTATGGGACCTCCATGAAGGGACTCTTCCAGAGGTGATAGAGGAATGAGGCCACTTTAAATCCCATTACTAAGTGATCAGAAGTTGTTTCTCATTCCAGATTATCCCAGAGAGAGAGAGAAGAGCACAGTGGGATCCCGTAAAGGCCAACCCTGAAATCCTGAGAGGTAAAGTATCGGCGGGTAACAATGGCGAGAGTGTGCGGGCCACATATTTCCCGTCATTAAGAGATAAATAATGCAGGGGGAATCATATGAATAATTTTCTCCCTAATGGATATTGCATGCTGAGAAAGGATTTTCAGTTCCACTTTTTAAAAATTCAGCATGTGAAATGATGCGTCGCTATGTGACAAAGTGATTTTTCGGGGCAAGAGGAGAGTAGCGCAAATGCATGAGAGAGCTCCAGATAGAGGAAAAAGTGAAATAAAGAGAGAGAAGGAGGGGAAAGAAAGGAGGTCGAGACTCACCCATTGAGTTCGACAGCATCAAATTACTTCTACCCCATCAGGCCTCCCCTCAGATATGCTGGTAAACACCAATATATTTGATCTAATTGCTCTACATTAGGGCTGCTATAAATCATTTCTGCACTGCTCTACTTTTTTCTCTACTTCAGGAAATCTACTGCCCTGCACCACTGAAACTCACTCAAAGTCCGTTTATTTTTACAGCTCTCGCTGCACATTGCTTTAAGTCTTTTTTCCTTCTGCTCTCGTATTGATTTGATTTTCTCTAAAACCTTTTTCTTCAGGCAAAACTTGAGGGTTGGACGACCATGAATGAATCCTGAACTCCACTACAACTACTACTCAGAAGAATCTCAAGAATGCAAAGACTTTCATAAGACGGTCTTTTACTAATGAAATCGCAGTTCTATCTTTGATTAGAAATCAATACTGAAGATGCTGAACATATGGCTGCCAAGTGAGTAAATTGCATTTCCCATCTGTCTGAATGTAAGATTCCTCATCCTTTATTCTCTTCATCAAAACTGTGAGATGGCATATTTCAGATTGCATGTACATTGGATATGCAGCCTGTCATCACTGGATAGGAAAGAAAGCATGACAAGCGGTGGAAATTCAAATAGCATATCCGATAAAGCACGCAGCCCCTTTCATAACGGTGTGATTGGTTGGATGGATGAGTTTTAACATCACAATAAAATGCCTCTACTTGCTGTCACAGTGTTTCATAACTCGCAGTGACACATCTGTGCAGAGATGAAGGAAGCAGCAGACACAGATGACAGATTACAAAGCCTGGGTATAAAGGATGTGGACTTCTTTCAGACCAGACTTTTTCAGCCCCTCTGATGCTACCTGCATCCAGCAGCATGACATACAATATGCATATGTTATCAAAGCAAAAATCAGGCATGAAACTTTAATGAACAGAGGAACATGGGGAGCAACGAAGAGCCGAGTAGCTGAAGGCAATGTGGAATTGTTTTAGCGAAGCGTGGCGGACAAGAAGCAGGAAACCTGGGAGAAGAAGAAGAACAATCGCTATAGGCGTTTGCATTTCACGTGTGACTGTAAGAGCCACCTCTGCAATTATACATACCACTGAGTAAGGACATGGCTTCTATCCACGAAGCAAATTTTCAGGCTTTGAACAGAACCACTGTTTGCCCGGGGACATTGCTGCTCAGGTGGCAAGCATGCTTAATTCACCGTTTGGAAGAACTTGTGAGTTAAAGCCAGTCAGCGGCTACACATAACTTTCCCATCACTAGATGTTATCTGATTTGTTGTCCTTGGAATGAAGTCTGTTAATCTGACTCTAAATGCAGCACACTTCCCCCAATGAGTTATATTCTCTTCCTTTCTCAAGACGTACAGCATAACCAGAACCCTGCGATGATTGAGAAAAACTGTCCTGGAGCATCAGCCAAGTTTGACCCCCGCCTACATGCAACCTATTTTGAAATCAGATTGCCCCCCGATTTACCTCCACATACCAGACAGCATTAGTCCGCACCAGGGCTGGAGTTGCTAGGCAACTGAAGACACTTGCTGCAGACTGAAAAGATTTTTTGATTCAAGGAAAGATCTTATATAATGTATTACAGGGGAGAAATTTGATTTAATTGCAATCAAATTGTCGTCGTAATTAGAATTATTGGAATATTACAGGGGTTGGCAAAACATGTAGAAGAGCAGCAGGAGTTGACACCACATGAAACAGTCATCATCAAAAAAATGGTTTCTATTTTTAAGTCACTTTAAATGCAGAAGTTCTGCTGCCACGATTCGGGGTTTCTAATGAAAAACCCATGTTATGCATATTTACTTCAGATTTATTGAAGGCGGTGTTAATGACCAGAACTAAAACTGTGTGATATAAATGATCTTTGTTAATATAATCTTATGGATTATTGATACGTGTGAATGTTTGAAGAAGCTGTCTTTGTTTGAGGCTATAGGAAAATCTGAATGAGGTGAGAATTCAATCCAAGTCTTATTAAAATGAACTTTCTGCCTCCAAGACTTCCAAATATTAAACTTTCAACAGAGTAATAATCTGATACACAAGCCGTCACTCTGTCATACCAGTTTTCCTGTGTTGAAAAACTGCTGCAGCACTGTACTGCGCCAGTCATCCACTGTACAAGACATCAGACTATACCAGTAATATGTTAATTGTGGTTCATCTAGTTAACATAATATGTGGGTAGCCTGAGACACCAGTAATTACCATATTCTATACTTCTCTATTCTGCTGGGACCTCTGGGAAATTACCAGGGTTAAAGGTCGAGTGGTGGGAGCACCATGCTGTGGGTGACCTACAGAAGCTGCCTGGAAATGAAGGCAAAGCAGCAGAAGGAGAATTTGCTTCTTGTATGTGCCCGGATTATCTAAGTCATGAGTGAACAAGCTCATAAATATGCATATTCATTATCCAGGGCTGCATCCCTCTTACTGAATCTATCATGAAGATTAATGAATATTATTCAGTCATTCATGACTTTACTGTAAGCAGCGGTTTCAAATGTAAGCTAACAGCACCATCTACTGGTATGACACAGTACTCAAGGAGAAAATGCTATTTAAACTGTTCAACTGTACTCTCTCTCTCTCTCTCTCTCTCAGGCTGTGCTTCAGGCCCTTTCACTGCTGCTGTAATCTGTGTTTCAGCTGCCGTTCTGCTGAACTTCCTCATTTCTGAAACACTGAGTTCATCCATTACATACTGAATGAAGATTGAAAATGATGGATCTAATTTTATGTGCTGAAACTACCGTCACTAAAAAATAAACATGAAAAAGACCAGTTAAAGTATTTTGTTAAATATATAATCTATCATGTTTTTATTTTGAGTTAAAATGTATTATCTAACAACCCTTTCACATCTGAAGTATGAACAGTCTTGTAAATCTCCACTAGATGTCACTGCAAACCCACAGCTCTGAGATAAATCAGTTTTTTTTTTTTTTTTGTACGCCTGTACAGTCAAACGAATATAAATCATGAATAAATGATAATGTTTTTCTGTGGCATATGAGGCACAAGGACTCAGACATATTGATCCCAGACAGGCAGGCAGTATTGCTGCTCTCTCTGCAGATTCAACACAGATGAATTTACAGTTCATCTTACACAACACTCACAGCAAAGACACATTTACATATATGCACATTAAAAAAGACAGGACAAACATATTTATTTGATCTTTAATAACATTCTATAGACATACTGGAGTTAAAAAGGATCTTTTTTTGAAAGTTTAAGCTTCAGTTCATGTCACTTACACAATCCAAGTGCTTTCTGATCTAAGCCAATCAAGAAAAACCATCATAAGTCATCATCCTGTGAATTAGAGTTGAGAGGTATCCTTCTCTCCATTTGTCAGGTTCTTGTCTTGCTTGTACGTCTTGCTGATGGATGTTTTCCCCTCATACCGGGCGGCAGGTTTGCGCTGCAGTAGCAGCACACACTGGTTTCTCAGCTCTTTATTCATACAGAGCAGGATTATGGGGCTGGAGAGTAATGGCAGGTCCAGCAATAAATCTCTGACCATCTCCTGACATACAGACGGATGTTCCATCAGAGCAAACACAGCACCTACAATGAATACAACATGGGAGGAGAATGGATGTCTTGCAATTTAAAAATTGTAATTTGTATTTTGCCATAAACCCAGAAACAGTCCTTCAAAACCAGTTTTATCTTCAAATGTGTTCGTGTTTTGGTGAAGCCTGTAGGCCTTCACTTTCTTACGAGGGAATGATTCAAGCAAAATTTTAATTTGCTAAAAGAAAAACAAGAAGTTCAAGTATGCAAAATATGTTTTTCACTTTTACTGGCGCGCACACAGGCAGGGTCTTCATTACATTTAATCAAAAACTGCACTGTTGTCAGTAATGCAAGTAAGTGAAAGATTCCAAAGTGGCAGGGATGTTCTTAGATTATTTGAAACAACTAATAATAACAAAGCTTACTGATCACAGATTACATTTAAGGAAAACCTCCATGTAATAAAGCTGCACAGTTAATCACAATTACATCTTTATCACAGTTGGAGCATCTACAGTAAACTCATCTCAAGAGTCTGAATCTGGCCCGATAAAAAAAAGCACCACTTTCATTAAACGAGCAATGCTGTCTGACTCAGCATGAGTACATTTGATCTATTGGGTGAAGACCTGAGAATAAAAGTTGTGCTTCGACATAATCTGACGAAGCTCAAGCAATCAGCTCCCCCTCAAATAATCTGTGCCAATTTTGTAATTAAAAAAACTTTGGGCCTCATATTGGATCCAGGAGGGCCATGTGTCAAACACAGGTGTTGTGTTCAACATCAAGAACAGCTGATCGACTCAGAAACTGAGATTAATGTTTGTTGATCTTCTGTTCTCTTTATCGTTATCACAGTATAAAACAACATACCACACATCATATTTTTCTCTTCTCTATCTAAATTGTAAGCTAACCTCTCAGACTGCATCCGTGTCAACAATCATTAAGGACAGAGCTATTTATTGGTAAATACTCTTACACAGTGTACACAGCTTTGAGCCGCCTACTATACACACCTAATTCACCTCATTAAAGACCTGTCAATTAAAAACGCGAATATAAAAAGGTGTAATTTGTGTGCTGCGTAACTAAATTATCCCTGCACTGTTCATCATGCCATATGTGTGTGTGCCGTTATTAAAGACCCACTCCGATGAAAATCATGTTTTTCTTGTTGTCTACATATTTATATGGTATTTTTCTGATACTAGAGGACATATCATGAGAAAAAGAAGTGTGAAATTGCATGTCTTAGTATTTCTGCATTCAAATTGCTGGGAATCTCTGGCAGACCAAAATGGCAGGATCAGATACAGTGAGATATTGTACGTAACAAATCCAAGCTCCGCACCAGGAGTCCCGCTGTGCTCAGAAAAATAGAGAGGACTATCGTGGAACAAGCGTCTGCGTTAGCGGATTGAAATTCTTGTAAGTAAGCTTATCATGATATGAGCTTTCATCATGCCCCTAAAGACAATAGTGTCAGAGCGCTGAATAGTTCCTATGTTACCTGTTTCTTCTACTACACCAGCAATGTTAGGCTGCAAGCTAACTCAAGAAGTGTGCAGCGCAGCGCTGTCTCCACCCACAACTCAGAGGCGACTCGCTAATGAGTTTCTGGAGCTCTGCAGAGGAAAAGCCCTTGAAAATGACACAAGTGACATGATTTTGGCTAAAAACCTAATAATCGCAGTTTATATATGTTTGCTCACTTTTCCTATAAACTGCATTTCAACGTCTGTATAGGCTTTAATTAATAACAGCCTTTTTAGTTTATAAAAGTCTGATTCAAGTGACTGATGAACCTTTTAGTAAACACAAAGATGTGCTTATAAAGTTTAATATGAGACGCACTCTTAACCTAAACCAGTATTTAAAAAAAATCCACCAAAAACTGTCCTACTTACCAGGTATATGTGCGGTGAAAGTGATGAGAGATATGAGGCTGAAGACCTTTGCCAGGTGGACATTAACTTTCTGACTCCTGTGCATCACCTTGGCGCTCTGGACGATGGTGTGAAGAACGTGAGCGTAAAAATATAAGCTCAATGGCAAAAACAGGACCATCTTCACCATCATAAGCACCCTCATTATTTTATCATTGATGAAGGAGAAGCAGGTCAGGTTGACCGGATCCAGGTGATCCACATTGAGAGCCAGGATCCACAGGGTGAGCTCCTTCAACCCCACCGGGAGGAGAGGAAACAGGAGCTGCAGGGCCAGGAACGCCCTGCTGTTCACCAGGTGTCTGCAGCCACACACCACCGTCAGGTAGATGGAGAAGGTGATGAAGGAGACGTACTGGAAGGATGCAAAGCTGGTCAGGTGTTTGGCGCTCACCATGACTTCACACATGCGTGAGCCCAGCAGCCAGCGCCCATGCTGCTTCCAGTAAATGGTCATGGGCCACAGGCTGAGGTTAACCAGGTTACAGCAGGTGCTTCCTAGGATGAACATGGCCACGTTGTTCCTTATCCTTCTCTGCTTGTTTAGCAAACAAGACACCAGGGATACCAGGATGAAGATGTTAAGACCAAAGCCGGGGACCAGGAGCAGGACTTTGGAGGACGCACAAAGGCTGAGGTAGTCTGAGACGGTGCACTGAGAGGACAACACTTCATTCATGGTGAAGAACTAGAGACACTCTCACAGCTGAACAGCCGAGGGGTGGACTGATACTGACTGTGATTTAAAATCTAAAACAGATTATCCTGTAATACTCTGGGGTAACAGGAACAGAAAAACAGTTTGTGTAGCATGTGAAATGCAGCTTCATCTCTTAATTATACAAACATGTTTTTGTCCTCTGTCTCCTTCTTCTACGTCCAATCACCTCGACTTTTGCTTCCTCTGAAGTTTATTGTTTCTAAGACTTTTGCCCAGTGGACCTAATTACAAAGGATTCAGTTCATAATCCCCTTCCTCTAGTTTTAAGCCTCTCATAAAACTGAAAATCTTTAGCTACTGCACACACCGACTTGACAAATTGATGCGAGGTGACCTCTCATTCTTCCTCCTCTTTCTCACTCATTTTATAGACCTTTACCCTGCCTTTATCAGACATAAATGACAGCCATGTGTCACATTTTATTTCCTATATTTCATGCATATGCGCTGCTGAACATCAGTGGGCATTTCTGATTTTTACAAGCAATTATTCATCATTACCCTGGGCTCTTACCACTGTACTTTTGTTCATTTCCTTCTCCATACAAGGTGTTTTTTCTAGGATAGGCATTCACGCTCTAGTCATAATATTCTGTCCGTGAAATATCCAGGGTTTGTTAATTCTTGGCTGTGTCTAATTTATTACCTTGTGATCTGCACGTCATTACACAGCAGCTTCCTCCCGCTCTACCAGTGCGGAAATCGTCCTAATGAGAGCTGAAAACGTATTTGTTTACTTCTCTGGGGCTTTATTAATGTGACACAGAGCCTGGTTGATTAAGTAGCTAACTACTCTGACATTACCCAAAAGCAACTTGTAAAAATGGCCTCCATTACATGAGTAGTGCAGTATTCAAGTGTGTGATTCAGTGTTTGAATGGGTGCATTAATACTGGATGATGTTCCTGTCATGAGTTAGCAGGTTTGTGTTTGCTTATTTGTAATCAGTATTTGTGTGTCAGATCAGTTTTTTTAAGTCATATTTGACTGAAAATACTGGATGGAGTTTTACAGATCTTCATAGAAAACAGAGAGTGAATGACACTGTTTGGATATCCAGCAGAGGGTTAAAATGTCAAAGTTTTCACCCTTTGATTTAAACAGCAAATATAAAACATATGAAATTTTAAACAGCTGCAGCTGCACTTATTTAAAGTCTGCTCATTCTCACCCCAAAACATCCATTACACACAGTTTGTCACAGCTCTTGGCTTCTAATACAGCCACTACTGTGATTACCACGCATAAACCACACCCGTGTGGCCACTCAAGTATAATTTCAAGTATAATACCCACCACCACTTTTACTTCTTTTGTTTGTTTGTTTCTACATCCATGTAAGATCACCATCTGCCATCTACGGTTTGGTAGATCTCACTGCTTTGTCTGATTATCTCTGCCTCTCCTCACACATGCTTTGATTCGAGCATGTGTTGTTGAAAATGGTTTACAGCCACTGGCTGCTTGAGTCTTTCTGCACCATCTGAACTTTTGGCTCATTATGAAACAGTAATACCTCCATGCTTTACATACCTCTAAACCTTTTAAAAGACTGTCTTTTGATGTCATCTCACATGTAAATACAATATACTAACAAGTCTCAGAGATTTGACAAAGACTGGAGGGTCATAACTCCGAGAGTACACCTAGATTCCTGGGGAAACAAAGTTTTGAGCAGAACACTGGAAATACTGTTGGTATGATCTAACGTGATTAAAAACAATTATAATAATGATTGTAGTGATAATGACAATGAAAAATTATATTTCAATTTTCATAAAATGGTTATACACACACACACTAATGCATGTTTGAAAAAAAGCTTAAGACTTACAGCATTGCAGCCAGAGTGAAATGGACCGTGGAGATTTGATCCATGATAGAGAGGAGAGGGAAGGAAAGTGGTCAAAAATGCTGTGGCCCTCTAAATCCCTTGTGAATATGCTAACTACAACTGACAAGCCTGCTATTTAAGCACTGCTCTCAATGAGACTCAATCTTAATATCAGATATGAGCCGACTAGCCAACTTGTTCGCCTCTAGGTCTAGTGGTTTTGCTTCCTGTTTGGAGATAGCCAGAGAGTACCTGTGGGTTGGGGTTGTTGACAGTGTCCATGTCAGTTAATAACCCTATCTGCTAAGACTACACTTAAGTCCAACAACTATTGAACCTGTTTGATTTTACTGTAATGTCAAGGTGGGAAAAAGACTGACATAAAAGAGTCACAGCTGAGACCTCTGTACACCCAACAAAACAATAGGAGCACATTGGAGAATAGTTAGTGTGTAAACATACTTTATAAAAGAGCTAATGAGAAAGGGTAATGATTTCAACACCTTAAAAGAGCTCCACCCCTGTGACCCCCCACCACAAGTACAGTGTTATTTTGTGGGAAACACTGGACACACTGGGGAAAACTTAGATTTTGTATTGTGTATACAGACTAAAGCTGCTATGTAACTGCTGTCACACCCACACACACCTGTCCCTACTGAAATGATGACAGGTATGTAAACCTTTATTCACAATAAAACATCAATGTTACACAAATACGAATAATACTTTTGGAACCATGAATAGAAGTGAAATAATTATCATAAATAATATTGATCATAGAAATAAACTATCCACAAATTTGTGTAATAAACTCGAGAAGTTAAGTAGCTCCAAAGTTGTTAAATGCAGTAAGTAAACAAGACATGTCATGAATTATTCTATTGTCTTGATGGTATGAAAAAAGTATGATGCTAGGCTTGCTAACTTAGCCACACTCAGCAAACCAATTGGACACTGTTTACCACTGGTCCCACTTCCAGCTGCTGCTATGACTGCTTTCATAGCTCTTGACTCGTCAGTTAGTCAGAAATTATATTTCTGCTTAATTAACTGGGGAAAGCATTTTTGAAATTGAAAGAAATTGAAGAAAAGCCCAAAAGTTTTTTTTGAGGTGTTCAGGGACTGTGCCAAAGAGCAGGAAAACTACTTTTGATTATGTGTGTGAAACCAACCGCCAACGCTTGGTTATCATTTCAACCCACGCAGTGATGTTCTCCCTAATCTTAGTCCTTAGTCTCTTTTTTTTTTCTTAACCCAACTCATCGTTTTAAGGTGAAACAAATGTAAGGATGTACTGACCTTGGTTTGTGTGTCTTTTTAAGGAGCAAAAATGGATGAGAATGTTTTGCTTGAGTCTGCTGCTGAGTGTATGCCAATAATTCAGATTTAGCATGCCAACATGTTAAAGAAAATGAAGAATGCAACAACTATCTTAAGGCTTAAATACCTCTAAACACATACAGTGCCGGGGCATAAGTGTTAACTTTGTGCTGACTGCCAAAGTTTTCCATTACCTTTGGTAATAATGACTGGTTTTGCTGTACTAATCTTCAACACTTACACACACAAATTGTGAATCTGCTCATCATTACGTGCTTTTATTTGAAATTCTCACTCCTCTTTTGGGTCTCGTCAGGGTCTGTTTGTTTGTTTGTTTTTTTGGCATTGTTGCCCGACTGATTCCAGCAGGCGATCTGGTGTAATTGGTCAGCATGACTGGGCCTGTCTAATGCATCAAAGGCCACCGTGCTGTTCACATGCCATCTAATCAGGCTGCAGGAGAGATGTGATCACTGAGCAGTCGGAGCTGGGCAGTGCTGGCACTGTGTATCACAAGCTCTGAATTGTGGCTGAATGTTAAAGACGAATCTGGATGAATTCCTTTTATATAATGAGCGCTGTGAAACCACTTGCTTTGCTGTAAGTTTTATTTTTTTTTCACCTTACAAGTTGGAAATACAGTGTACTTAATATAGCATTGAGGGGGAGGAGGTTGGCAGTGGCCCTCGGGTGTTTTTCAGACTTGTATGTAAATGTTGAATGCTATCATTTTGTGTCCCTGATGGGTTCTGCACCCCCTCCCTCCAGCAACGATTGCTCTGGAGACTGACAGACAGGCAGGCAAGCAGGCAGGCAGGCAGGCAACACTGAAAGGTGCTGTTCCTGAAATTGATTGAAAATCAGAGATGCTTGCTGGAGCAGTTTGATCCAAACAGACTGCAGAGCAAGCGGCTGAAGAGATAGAAAAAAAGGAGCTAGAGGAGGAGATACAGAGAGAAAGGAGGAGGCAGTGGGCACTCCCTCAGTGGGAGAGGGAGTGCTGTCAGTCAGTCGTAAGAACAGATCGGCCTCAAGGTGACAACTCCTTCCATGAGATGCGTTTCCACCGAGGGTAATGGAGCTTGGGTCTTGTCTCACAAAAAGCAATTTATAGCCGAGCCAGCTGAGGTCTGAGAGCTTCAGAGGCTCAAAGAGTGTCAAATATTTTCAGCAACAAATTGTGCAGTGTCAGGTCTGTAGATGTCTACCTGAGGCCCATACCACTGCTGAGAATATGCCACCTTCAGAAGTTCAGGTTAGGGGTCAAAGTAGGCAAACTGCAGTAAACAGGTTCTTGGAGAAATGAGACACTCCTCAAACAGTAACCTCAATTATAAACAACTCGCTGGATGACTCATGATACAGTATATGACACAACACCATACGATATGAAACAATGTAACATGACACTACACAACATAAGTTTAAAAACAGTATGATATGATGTGACATGATATTATTGGACAATACACTATACAATACAATACAATGCAATATATGATAATAAATGATGCAATGCCTTGCTTTACAACACAGGATACTTGTCCCAGGATATCATGATCAGGGCTTGACACTAGCTTTTTTCACAAGGAGCACATGTGTTGCTAAATTGAAAAAGTAAGGGGCACACAAAGAACTTTAGGGGCACAATGAAAAATGTCTTATTGGTCGACAAAAGTACTTTGATTTGAAATCAATTTTAGGTCTTTTGGTCACATGACATGGAAGCTATTGAAGGAAATGTTTAAAATTTGCCTTTGAATTTAACACAAAAATTTTTAGAGGACAAATTAGGGAAATA